CATTTCCAGGTATTACGTAGTTTAAGTGAAAATGAGTTCATACCATGTAAAATACAAAATAGGCCCGAGGTTATTGGCAAGATTGGTTAGAGCCTGCATTCTTATAAATGTGTCTCTGACTGACATTGAGATCAAGCCACTTACAGAGGACACTGCAGCCCAGTCCCAGGCAGAAATCTGCGTGCTCCAGGCAGAACTGTTTCTGTCGGCTATTAAAATGGAGACACCGTTATGCTGGAAGATTATACGGAACTTCACATACAATAGATAGATGGAAAAAAGCGTGACCCATACAAAGTGATTAACATTCATTAATACACAGATTTCATTTGCTTCATCCATCCATCCATTCATTCCACAAATACTTATTGATTCTTCGTAGGTACCAGACATTGTTCTAGATACTGGGGTACAGTGGTAAATAAGAGACAAGGCTCCTTTTCTCCTGGAGGCTGAATTTTTAAAGTAGAAAGACAGATCATAGACAGATAAATAAATAAAAACAAACAAAGGACCCAGTGATAAATGCTAGGATGAAAAACCAAGGCCCAGGTGGTGTGATGGCAGCTGAGTGGTCAGGTGCAGCTTTTCTGAGGCATTGGCAATCCAGCTAAAGTTTGAATGGCACGAAGGAACCTGCCCCTGGGGGAAGAGCACTCCTCAAAGACAGAAGAGAAGGTAGGGACGGTGGGCAGTGAACTCGGGTGTGGGAGAGGAACAGAGACAAAGGCAGGAGCCAAAATGCCTGGAGCTCAGTACCGGGACTGAGAAGCAGGAGAAAGGGCGGAGAGGTGGCCAGGGGCCGATGGTGAGGCAGGACGATGACGAAAAATGGAACAGGATGTGAAATAGGAAGAACACTGGAATCAGATGACATAAAATCATAAGGCAGAGATTTTGGAACAATTCAACTCGCTCCAGGCATGATTTTCATCTGGAGCTTCCTAGGATTTAAAATTGCCTCTGATGAAGGCAATCTGTAGCACCATTCTTTACTTGTCTTGAAATAAAGAAGAAGACACTTTCAGTTCTTTTAAGAATCTCATATCCCACTGTAGAGTCTCTAACTTACCACTTTCCCCTTGATTACCAACAGAATACATCTTTATGACAGAACATTTGGAAAATACAAATAAGCCAACAGAAGAAGAAAAAAACCATTCCAAATCCAGCCACCCCAGAATAACCACTGTTAACATTTAGGTACAGAATCTGCTATGGCCTGCACGCGCGCCCTCAAATTCCTGTGTTGAAAGCTAACTCCAAAGGTAATGGTATTAAGATGGACGGCCTTTGGGAGGTGGGGCTGTCATGAATGGGGCTGGCGCCTTTACACAAGAGGCCTCGGGGGTGTGTTAGCCTCTCTTGCCCTCTGCCGTGCGAGGACACAGCAAGATGGACACTGCCATTATGAGGAACCAGCCCTCAGCAGACACCAAATCTGTTGGCAACTTTATCTTGAACTTTCCAGCCTCCAGACTGTGAGCAATACACTTCTGTTACTTATAAATTACCACATCTCAGGTTACCTTGTTACGGCAGCTCGAATGCACTAAGACAAACTGTCTTTATGCTCACACGATGCAGTGGTTCAGAATACAAACTCTGGAGTCTGGGTGGGAATCGTTGCTTTGCCACTTGTTAAACCTGTTTTGAAATTTGCTAGTTGACTTTCAGTCTATCTTAATTGCTTATAAAATGCTACATAACTGTCTGCCATGTCTTAAGCCTCAGTTTTCTCATTTGCAAAGTGGGGAAGTAATCTTACTTTCTTCATGGGACTGCTGTGATGGCTAGATAAGCCATGGAATGCTCCTGGTTTAGGGTTTACATAGTACATCCTTCTGCACGTCAGCTATTATGTTATTATTTTACAAAGTGGGGATTACACTGCAAAACTTTCCATGCATAAACTACTATTCCAACTATCACTAGGCATTTTTAATCATGACATAGTATTGTGCTGTAAGGATATAATTCGGACAAACTCTGTTATGGGACACTTTGGCTTTTTCCAAATTTTCACTATTTAATGAAATTCTACAGATAAAAGATTGCAACTTTCATGTTACTTCTCCAGGACAAATTCTGCAAAGTGACTGGGTCGATGGGCATACACATTTCCAAGACTCTTTTGAGGCATATTACTATGTCTTCTACCATGAATTTAGATAATATGTTGGATAAGAATAATGTCTGGAAGTAAATAATCCACATATGTGTGCAGTTTCGAAGGCATGATTTACCATCAGCTGAATGGAAACACTTTATCTCTTCCCTCCTCATGCATTCACACACGTTCTTCTCCGCACCTGTTCACACCTGCGGTGTGCATCACCTCCCTTCATTCCTCAGAGAGGCTTCTCCGCACCAGGCTTCTAGTTAAGCAACTTTGCTCATTGTTTTCTGATTTGCTGGGAATTCTGTACTTACCATTCTTTTTACCTGAAGACATAAACTCATAGAGTTTCAATATATTGGGAATCCAGGCCCCTCACCTAACAGGTGATGTGACAGTAATGTAGAGTGAACAAGGGGCGTGTCCAGACTGACCCCGTGGACACGCTATTGTTAGACTGCTCAGTCATGCTGAATCATTTCTTTACCTGTAGAACCCGGATCAGCAGGCAGTGCATGTAAGCAGCCAGTGTGGTTTGCTGGATGAATAACTGCCTGAAGTAACTTATAGCCTTCTAGGATTTTGTAACAGGAAAGGACCATAGAGGCACAGAAACTGAGGCCTGCACTGGTTAATGAGATGTAGGTTGTTACATAATATTAGTGACAAGTTGAAATAACAACTCAGTTCCCTGCACAGACATGGAGAAGCCAGGAGATGTGGCCTGTTGGGGTGAGAGGAACATGAAGAGAAAAGCCTAATTCTGACTTGCTCCAGAGCGGGCAAAACCAAGACTGAGCAAAACTGCAAGTTGGCGGCAGGCCAATTTCAGCAAAATACAAGAAAGGGCTTTTTGGCTGGGAGGGTGGCTCACGGCTGTCATCCCAGCAAGTTTGAGGGGCTGGGAGCGGGGGGTGGATTACGAGGTCTGGAGATCAAGACCATCCTGGCCAATATGGTGAAACCCCATCTCTACTAAAATACAAAAAATTAGCTGGGCACGGTGGTGCATGCCTGTAGTCCCAGCTATTCGGGAGGCTGAGGCAGGAGAAATCGTGTGAACTCGGGAGGCACACCACTGCACTCCAGCCTGGGCGACAGACCGAGATTCCGTCTCAAAAAAAATAAAAAATAGAAAAAAAGAAAGAACTTTTTGATGATTAGTACTGTCCAAAATGGAAGTGAGTTTTCTCGAAAAACAGTGAGTTGCCCCTAATTGGAAGTGTTCAAGTAGAAACAGGGTAATAATTTGTGAAGTGTTTTCATAGAAAAATCTTTTGGTTTATGTGGGGGATAAACGACTTCTAAGGTCTCTACCAAAGTGAAGATTAAATTATTGGTGAATACATATATCTTGATATTTTTATCTTGTTGATCTGTTACTGTGCAATTAAGTCTTTTGAATGTGAATTCATTATCTTTCTCATTACAAATGAGACCTGATAAATTAAATGTCTTTACTTACCCAAGATTCCATGGGTTTAAAATAATCTTTTTAGTGGTATTTCAGTGTGCTACGCACAGTAGGAGTTCAAAATATAAAATTTAAATTAGCTCTTAATTTTGGAAAACCAACATTTACAGTAAATTGAGCTACAGGCTCCATGCATTTGAACAATTTGATTGAACTCAGCTGGTCTCAACGAAATACATCAGCTGATCACATTCAAGGACACTAAATATTCATTAGCTTTTTTCTTTATTAAAAAAAGCTAAAAGGAAGGAATTTGGGTAGAAAGTATTGTGGTGAGATAAAAGTGTTCTTTTATTGGCTTTCTGAATAATAATCTGAAATTGCAGCTGGAAGTCTTTCAGAATAGAAAGAATCCTTTTAATATGAAACCGCAAATTTTATTGCACTTCAAGTATAGAGGGACTGAAAGACCACCCTTTTAGTGTAATCATTTCATCCAAATTCTAGGAAGACAAATCACATAAATGAAGCATATTCTAGAAATGCTTTCGATTTTCAAGATTTCATATCTGTAATAGAAATGGAGGTTCCAACAAGTTCCTAAGTAAGTTCAGTGAAAAGCTCCACTCTCAAACAGCAATCTAGCAAAGCTTTGATGAGTCGCAGAGATAGCATCTGTGACTCACTCTTTTTGAGTCTACCCAGGAAGGAAATGGATTAAAAAAACAGCAAAAGCTGCTTTCTGTTTGTTTAGGTTTTTTTTTTTTTTTTTTTTAACTTCCCTTTCTTCTTTTCTCCCTTCCTTCCTCCCTCTTCCCTTTTCTTTCTTGGTCCTTCTTATTAGAAGGCTAAATATAGAAATCAATGTTCCAATCAGGTATTCATTTGAATTATCAACAATGTTTTGGACATTCTTATAAAACAATTGGCTCAAGTCGAGGTGAACTATCCATTAGCTAGAATATTCCAGCCATGCCCATTTCTCACCGACTTAGGAAAAGATACCTACTATGGGCAGCAAGATCTTCTGTTTCAGACACTGTGCTAGATGCTAGCGACAGAAAAATATGAGGCATGAACCGTGGCCTCACAGAGGCCCAGCAAATCCATAGCACTGCTTCACCACAGAACCTAGACGAGACTCAGAGTTCTTTCTGGCCCGAGACTTCTGACAGTTATTGCTAATCGATCGCCGGATTGACTCCCGACAGTCTCTGCTCATCTATTGCCAAATTGGCGTAAGAGGTCATATATATTTGTCATCTCTGATGGGAAATCAAATGTTCTCTAGTACATTGATTGTACCAGATTCTGTACCAAATGACTGTCTCATTCTGACAATCATAATCATAGCTATCTCATGCCTATAATGGAAGACCCATTTCATTTCTATCTTGCCGAAGTTTGATTTTTGAATGCCATTCTCAGAAGCATGAAACAGAAAAAACGAATTTTAAGAAAAGTTACCTCCACCGCTGCTTTCGCCCTTTCAAATTCTTCTTCTAAGGAGTGGTTTCTAGAGAGTAGTGCGCTTCCCCAGCGATGCTCTTTGGTGAGTCGAGCCTGGAATCAAGCGTACACATGGTGTGTTGGAATCACATGACACTACACAAATAGACAGGTACTGTTCACATTTCACTTCCCTCGCCTTTAAGAATCATCTGTGGTTGATGACATTTTGGAGTACTGTGCAGGCATGGTGCTGCCTAAGCTGAGATGACATCCATAAATATGTGTGAACATGCATGCGTGATCCTTCCCACAGTGGGTCTCAGCCCTGGACACATTAAAACCACTCCTCATGCCTCATCTCCCAAAGCTCTTATTTTAACTGGTCTCTATTCCAGGCCTTGACATTTCAGTAAACCTCTCCAAATGATTCTGATACGCAGCTAGGATGGGCAATCTCCATCAGAAGTCTAGCTTTAGAAATTGATATTCAAGCTTTCAGCTTGCGAGGAAGATCAGCCTCCAGGTAAAAGCATGAAAGCTGCAGAAGTGAAAGTGGTTTCCAGGCCTTTCTCCGTATGTGCACAGCAGGTCCTTGTGCAGAATTCTCTTCCTCTGCTTTCCCTCTGCTGGCATTGTCTTATGGCTCATTTCTTAGGATCCTGCTCTCTATTAAATAATAATGAATCACTTAGATATCAAAATCATGTCTGATAAGGCCAACTGCTTTGCCACAATTAATAGGCAACGTAATGCATACATATCTTAACTTGGCTAAATGCAAGTATTTTCAGAAGACCTTTCCCCAAGAGTCTGCTGTAATTTAAAAAAGGTTATTAATTTTTAATTTCACAAAAATACTTATTTTGAAAAAAATCAGTCACAGAAAATAAGAGGTGGACCACTAGACCTTTCTGCAGTCACATAAACATTTGTACACCCAGAGTGCTGTGTATGGTAACACGGACAGTAATGTGTTTCAAACAATATGAAACTTCAGAGGCTTGCCATTCTTTAGTTTTTCACTCAACAATTTACCTTGCAGTTTCTATTTCTGTGTTTTTGGTTTTGGTCTATCGCTCTGGTCGACGGGGGATCCATGGGGACAGCAACCTTGCCTGGTAGCTTTTGTACTCCCGACGCCCAGCACAGGGCCTGACCTGGGGGGAGCGCCCACATATGCCCACGGGCTTCAGGTTGAGGGACGTACTGAGACAAACTAGCCTTGCGGAAGATGGGGAGAGGGTCTTGGGGTCAATTTCTCTGGCCTCTTTTGTTATAGAGTGGACGTGGGGTAGGGTGAGTGACTTCTTGGTGTGTGTGTGTTAGACAGCTCTGTGGCAGCGACGCTCAACCCTGGCTTCCGTGGGAATTACCTGAACAGGCCTGGACCCCACCGCAACCTATTAAATAAGAAACTCTGGGGCTGGACCCTGGGCCTTTGGATGTTTGAAAAGCTCCTCTAATAATTCTGAAAAGCAGTCAGGGTTTGAAAATCACGGTTCTACAGCGAAACTTCTGTCTTCACACAGCACTTGCCCTCCATATCGCTCAGCTGCTCTCCATTCGTTTTTCTACCACTGTTGGTCCTGAGGAGACCCCCTCTTCTCTCATGACACGACAGTACTGCCAGACACTGCTCTCAGTACTTTAGACACTGTAATGTATTTCACTCTTTCAGCAACTTCATGAGGTAGGTATCATCAACTCCATTTCAAGATGATGATGTTGAGATACAGAGAACTTAATCCCCTTGCCCAAAGTTACACAGCTAGTAAGTGACAGGTCTGGTGCTTCAAGGCCATGCTCATCACCACTGCCCTGCACTGCTTCTCCCAGGAGGCTGAGCTCACCCGGCCATGCTCATCACCACTGCCCTGCACTGCTCCTCCCGGGAGGCTGCGCTCACCTGGACATGCTCATCACAACTGTCCTACACGGCTTCTCCCAGGAGGCTGAGCTCACCCGGCCATGCTCATCACCACTGCCCTGCACTGCTCCTCCCGGGAGGCTGCGCTCACCTAGACATGCTCATCACCACTGCTCTGCACTGCTCCTCCCGGGAGGCTGAGCTCACCTGGACATGCTCATCACCACTGCTCTGCACTGCTTCTCCTGGGAGGCTGAGCTCACCTGGACATGCTCATCACCACTGCTCTGCACTGCTCCTCCCGGGAGGCTGAGCTCACCTGGCCATGCTCATCACCACTGCCCTGCACTGCCTTTCCCAGGCCAGGCTAGGGAGACAGAAAACACAGAAAAGCTGCCCCCAGGGGTCCACTGCATGGGTGAAGAGTCAGCCTGGAAGCTCTATGAATACTGTGGTTGCAAGCAATAATGACGTAATTGTGACTGTAAATAACAGTGTGGGGGGGTTACTTTAATAAATGTGGAATGTTTATTTATTAAAACATTAATTTATGTTTCTTCCTCTGTTGGGAATACTCAGTATCTCCCAGCAGACAGTAGGTGCTCTATGAGTAGTCGATAAATAGTTGTTAAAAATATGCTGTCAGTGAAGAGAAGAGTAAATGAATTAAAGATATTTTCTCTCCTCAACCCCAGAAGCTGTTTTCAGTCAAAGTTCTCTGGTCAATCCAGGAGGCTAAGGGGAACTTATAGGAGCCTGAGAGGGGTCTTGTTTTTTTGTCCTGGACCTGGATCTGGAGTGGCAGCGGTCTGTGTTAGCAAAGTCCTACCGCTTGGACTTCAGAAGTGGGGAACAGCAGCTGAACGCCTGGGGGGGCTGCCTACCAACAAGCAAGGCCCACAGACAGCACAGGGAGGCACCTACACGGGTGCGTGCAGTCAGAAGAGGGAACAGGGAGGGGTGGTGGGGCACCTCTGGGCTCGCAGGAGTATCTGCACCTCACCGTTGGGGGGCCCAGGCTCATGGGTCACCATGAACAAGAAGCCTCCCTTTCTAGGCTACGTGAAAGCTACTAGTACCTCCTCCTAACCCAGACACCTGATACAGGGAAGGTGACCTGAAATATGAAAGTGAGACCAACTATCACATCATCCTGGCCAGTGGGGTCTTAGGGCCAGATTTAAAATCAGTAAATAAAAGTAACAGGACATTTCTTGTGCTCCAGAGTTGTGGCAGCAAATTCATACTCATTGCAAAATCAAAGAACTTATGATAGAAAAATGTATGCCCAACTTTGAAAAAGGCAAACTGAGACTGTGGGCTTTCTTCATGTCATGGGAGAGAATTTTCTGTCTTCTGATCCTTGTATCAGTTTCTTATGGCTGGTGTAACAAATACAAATTACCACAAACTGGTTGACTTGAAAAGACAGACGTTTCCTCTCTCAAAGTTCTGGAGACTAGAATTCTAAAATCAAGGCGTTAGCAGGGCCACGCTCCTCTGAAGGCTGAGAGGGAGTCTGCACCCGGCCTCTCCCATTCCTGGTCGCTTCAGGCATTCTTTGGCTTATGGCTGCCGCCCTCCATGCTGCCTCCTCTTCTCTCTCAAAACTCTGTCTGCCTTACTCTTACAGGTACATGTGGTTGCATTTAGGGCCACCCAGAGACTTCAGGAAAGCCTCCTTCTCTCAAGACCTCTAATTTAATCAAGTATTTTGCTATATCTGGCCACCATTCACTCAACTACAATGCTGATCTGACACTTTTGGGCCACAATATATTTGATGAACAAATATAAGCAAATATAAAGGGGAAGATGGTTCACAGCCTTTTAGGATTACGTTGTTAGGATGCTGTACCCTACCAGAGACATTAGCTCCAACAGTGACATCCTACTGTCTTGCAGAAAGTTAGCCAGTCTTGTATCTAACTAGGCAAACTCATTCTGGCATTTCTTTCCAAGCTGGCTATGTAAGCGCTGTTCCTTAGTGCTTTGCTTTTGCAACCCACTCTATTGCCTTCCTATGGGTTCCTTCATTAATAAAACAAACAAACAAAAATTTCAAGTGTGGACACATGGTAAGAAGCAGACTTTCTGACAAACTGAAGAAAATGCAAATAAATGAAAAAATATCCCATGATCATAAATTGAACGAACTAGTATTGTTAAACTTCCCAAACACTCCCTAAAGCAATCTGTAGATTCAGCCCAATTCTTATCAAAATTCCCATGATGTTCTCCACAGAAGTAGAAAAAAAAATTGTACAGACTCACAAGAGATCTTCAATAGCCAAAGCAATCTTGAGCAGAAAGAACAAAATTGGAGGGATCACACTACCTGCCTTCAAAACATGTTACAAAGCTATAGTGATCAAAATGGTACAGTGATCAAAATTGTACGAAAACAGACATACAGACCAACGGAACAGAATAGAGAGCCAGAAGTAAACCCATGCATTTACAGTTAATTGTTTTTCTACAAAGGTGCCAAGAATACACAATGGAGAAAGAATAGTGTCTTCAATCAATGATTTTCGGAAAACTGGATATCTACATGCAAAATAATGAAATTAGACCCTTTTCTCACATTACATACAAAAATCAACTCAAAATGGATTAAAGACTTAGATGTAAGACCTGAAACTATGAAACTACTGGAAAAAGCATTGGGGAAATGCTACAGAACACTGGTCTGGGAAAAGAATTTTTAAAATATGACACTATAAACACAGGAAACAAAAGCAAAATAGGCAAGTGGAATTACAGAAAACTCAAAAACTTCTGCACAGCAAAGGAAACAATCAAGATGATAAAGAGACAACCCTCAGAATAGCAGAAAATAGTTGCTAACCATATATCTAACATACCATAAGGGGTTAACATCTAAAATATATAAGGAACTTAAACAACTCAATAGCAAGAAAACAACTGATCAAAAAATGGACAAAGGACCTGAATGCACATTTCTCAAAAGAAGACATACAAATAGCCAATAGATATATGAAAAAAAGTTCAATATTATTAATAACAGGGAAATGCAAACTAAAACCACAGTGTTATATCACCTCACACCTGTTAGAATGTCTGTTATTGAAAAGACGAAAGATAAGTGTTGGAGAGGATGTGGAGAGAAAGAAACCCTCATAAAATGTTGGTGGGAATACAAATTAGTATAACCATTATGGAAAACAGGATGAGGGTTCTCAATAAACTAAAAGTAGAGCTACAACATGATCCAGAAATT